AACCTTGCTGGTGTGTGACATGAATGCAGTTATTCAGGAATCTGAAGATTGCTTGGCATTGCCCTTCTTAAGGGTTGGGACATAAACTGATCTTTTCCAATCCAGTGGACACTGTTGTGTTTTTTAATAAGACCATATAGGTGTGACCTAAAAAGAAGTGGAATTGAGTGATAGATTTAAGGGATTCGGTCTGGTAGAGGTGTGCGGTAGTGTACAGGAGGCAGCAACCAAAAAACATTCCAGCGAAAAAGAAGAGAAAAAAGCAGAACAGCTATGTGTGGGGAGGCTTTACAATGAGCCAAGGAAGGAAGGAAAGGGAAAGGGGAAGAGAAAGGGAAAGATGTACCCCACTTAATGGAGGATTCCAGAGAATAGCAGGGAGGGATAACTCGGTTGTTGTCCTTCATCGTGGAAGAGGACCTAAATGACGTCACTGTCCTGGGGTCAAGGTGCAGTGTGTCCAGCTGTGGGTGATGAGATCAGTGTGAGCTCAGTATCAGAGTGCAGGCAAACAGTCCATCTGAACAATTAGATGGACATATCTGTAAATTTGGGCATCTCATGTTTCTTTTGAACCACTACAGTTGTGCTTTGCTCACAGGGCACAGCACCTTCTTTGATGCCAGCTTGCCATGCTGGACAGTCCTGTGCCAGTGTCTCCCATGTCCTGCCATTTATTCCAAAGTTCTTCAAAGAGACCTTAAGAGTGTCCTTGTATCGCTTCTTCTGACCAACACGTGAAGACCTTCCTTGCGTGAGTTCTCCACAAAATGGTGTTTTAGGGCAGCGTACATTTGGCATTTCACTATGGCCAGTCCATCTGAGTTGTGCTTTCTGCAGTAGAGTTTGAATACTCGGCAGTTTAACTCAGGAAGGAACCTCAGTGTCCAGTATCTTATCCTGCCAGATGATCTTCAGAATCTTCCTAAGACAGTTCAAATGGAAGCAATTCATTTTCCTGGCATCTTGCTGGTGGACCGTCCAGGTTTCAGAGGCATACGACACTGAGGTCAGTACCAGGGCTCTGCAGACGTTTACTTTGGTAGACAGCCTAATGCCTCTTCTCTGCCACACTTTCCTTCGGTGCCTCCCAGACACTGAGCTCGGTCTTTCAGTGTGTGGGTCAATCTCATTATCAAGGTGTACATCTCTAGAGAGTATACTGCCCAGGTAAGTGAAGTGATCCATGGCACTGAAAATCTCTCCATTTGCTGGGACAGACAGTTCCATGTATGGTTGGTATGGTGCTGGCTGCTGGAGCACCTGCATTTTCTTGGTGTTAATTGTTAGGGCAAAATTAGCAGAAGCAGCAGAGAATCTATCCTCACGTTGTTGCACCTCAGCTTCAGAGGCTGCATTGAGAGCACAATCCTCTGTGAACAAAAGATCACACACCAACTCTCATGCCACGTTAGTCTTGGCTTGTGGCCTTCTGAAGTTGAACAATTTGCTGTAAGTGTGGTTGTTGGCACTGATGCTGTGTCAGTCCCCATGGAAGACTTCTGATGACATAGCTGGAAACATCATGCTAAAAAGCATGGGAGGGAGCCCACAGCCCTGAGCAATGCAAAGAAATAGAAGATAATGAAATGGGAAAGACAAGAGGTCTCTTCAAGAAAATTAGAGATATGAAGGGAAATTTTCATGCAAAAATGGCATGATAAAAGACCAAAAGGGTAGAGATTTAACAGAAGCAGAAGAGATTAAAAAGAGGTGACAAGAATACACAGAAGAATGACACAGGAAAGATGTGAACGTCACAGATAATCAGGGTGGTGAGGGTACTGATCTAGAGCCAGACAGTCTGGAGAATGAAGTGGGCCTTGAGAAGCATTGTTATGAATATGGGTCATGTAGGTGTGATTACATCACATGGGAAGACTTGGGTTCATATCTTACACTGGACACTTAGCAGCTGTGTGAACCATGAGTAAGTCACTTGACCACTGTCTGCCTCGATTTCTTCCACTGTAAGTGGGGGATCATTAGAGTACCTGCCTTCTCGAGCTGTTTTGAGGATATTTGTAACGTGTTCCCCACAGTGCTTGGAAGGTAGTCAGTGCTTAGTAAATGTTTGTGCCCTCCCTCTGCCCCCCTTAACCCCTGGAGGATGACGAACCAGTAAAAGTTGTTGACTGTGGGAGACTAACACAGTCAAGTTGCTGTTTAGGAGGATTACCCTTGCAGTTCCATGACCAGGCTGGTCCCAAGGTGATGAGTTCTTTTGGCCGTGACAACTCTTCAAAGGCTCCACAGAGCCACTGAGGGTCCAGAGTCTGCCTTGTTGGAAGAAAGGTGCCCGCTGGGGAAGGCATGGATGCCTGAAGCATAGAAGGAGCAAACGGTCGTCTGGCAGTGGGCATTTCTGTAGCGGATGGTTGGGAGGGGAGAAATCAGGGGCAGGAGCACTGGCTTGAACCTCCAGCCTTCATCCAGAGACCAGAGGTGATGAGGACCTGGACCCAGGCACCCTAGACTCCACCTTCAAGTCAGTCATCAAGAATGTCACAGCTTCTCTTGGGAACAGGTATCCCAGAGTTACTTGCTCATGTGAAGAACCACCTACCTCACTCTAAGGCATATCTCAGGAGGGACTGATAGGATGGTGTGTGAACTCTGGCAGGAAAGCATTGTGGAACAGTGGAAAAAGGGAAAGCCCTGCAGTCAGGGGCCGTGGGTTCTAATGCTGCCTCTCATTCTTATTACCCTGTTACACTGGGCGAGTAACCTAGTGTCTTTGGGCCTCTGCTCTTCTGTAGAATGAAGGAGTTGTACTAGATTACCTTTGAGGTCACTTCCTGTTCTAGTTCTAGGATTGCATGAGTGAGAAAACATGGCATGTTTGTCCTGAAGAAGGAATGGCTTCTAGGAGTTGTGGGTGGGACAAGATGTGTTTTGAACATCCAAAGGGCTGGTGTGTGAAAGCTTGGGCCCAGGGACAGGACCAGGAGCAGTGGGCAGAAAGGTGCCAAGAGGCATTTTTCACCCTGATCCAAGGAAAATACATTCTAACAACGAGAGGCATCCCAGAGCGGCATGGGTCGCCTCAACAGGTGGTGAGCTCCCCATCGTTGGAAATCTTCAAAGCCTGGATGGACACTTGTTGGTTCTCATGTGTTCTTTCTCAGGTAGGGTTGCATAAGGCTATAGATTAGTGGGTTCAGGCACCTGAGGTGTTTCCTTAGGTCAACATTCCCCAACCTCAGAGACTTTTTTTTAAGGGAAGGAGAAGAAAAGATAAAAAGGAAGTCCTGGGACCCAAGCCACCAAGGGACCAGGGAGATACTGGGAAGGAAACTAATTTAACCCTTAGGTCTGAAAGGTGGGAGGACCTGAGTGGTGACTGATCCAGAGAATTTAGAGCTACATTGGAAATGTTCCAAGGGAAAAAGAAAGAAAATATAGCATCCTGAGCCCAGACACCCTGCCCTGTCCCTGAAGTCCCCATCCTCTCTGGAGATTGCGTTTCTCGTCTGCCAATGATCCCAGCCCTCTCAAAGGGTCTGCCTCGCAGTCCTAGTCTCCTCGTTGAGCCCCTACGTGTTCGCACAACTCAAGAGAGACCCCAGTTCTGTGTGTGTAGCCCCAAGCTGAAACCCACATCTCTCCTGAACACAGTTGTATTTTTCACTTATCTTTTTATTCAAATGATTCCTGTTCCAAATCACAGCTATGCTTCCAAAGCATGAGTTGGTGACATGCAAGAGGTCCTGGGAGATGCCCCAATCCTTCTCCTTCAGATCCTTCTTACATGGGCTTTTCTGTTTTGTGTGGCTTTCTGTTTTCGTCTCTTCTTTTTCTGGGCATAGGCCAGGATTATGAGGTACCAGATTACACTGTTCACAAGGAGGATGAGGGTAACCAGGAATAAGAGGATGGCCAGTAGTTTTTCACTATGTTTTTCTGTTGGGTGCTTGCTAGAAGGAGTATGTTTAATCCCTTGGGGTTCAGTAGGTTGGTTCTGTGAGGAGGTGGTTCTGATTGGAGGAGGAAGTGTGGTGGTGGTGGTGCTGGTTCTGGTGGTAGTGGTGGTAGTGGTCTGGTGAGTGGTGGTGGGGATGGTAGTGGTGGGGGTAGTAGTTGTGTTAGTTGTAGGAGTGGTGGTAGTTGTGGGGGTAGTGGTGGTTGGGGGCGGGGTGTTGGTGGGGGTGGTGGTAGTCTTTGGGGTAGTGGTGGAGGGGGTGGTTAGGGAAGATGTGGGAGTGGTCACAGTGGTGTTGGGGGTGGTAGTGGTATGGATGAGGATTGGGGTGGAGGGGGTGGTGGTAGTGGGGATTGTGGTGGGGATAGTGTTGGTGGTGGTGGGAGTGGTGGGAGTGGTCGTGGTCTGGGGTGTTGTGATGATTATAATTGGAACAACAGGCCCGCTATCCATACTGCCCCCATGACCTATTGTCTCACAAGTTGGGGGGGCATAGCCAGAATCACAGTGGCAGTGTCTCAAGTTGTTACACACCCCTCTTCTGTGACAGTTGGTAACTGGATTGCACTGAAGCATGAGGAAGTTTGCAGCAGATGAGCAGACATTGTTGATGCAGACCTTGTTCGGGGCACATCTGGTACCATCAGACACTTGTGCTCTATCAGGAACATCAACCTCCTCAAAGAGGTCTGCGCCCCAGCACCAAGTTTTATCATACCTCACCTGGATAAAGGTGTGGTGGTTCTTACCGTGCGGTACGTTCAGCACCTTCTCACATACAACCTTCCCGCACTTGGCATTATGGGCAGCACAACTCACAAAGCCTTTGTACAGCCCAGTAAATCTACTGCCACAGTTCCCAAACCGGTCCCCTTTGGAATTCATGAACCGATAGCAACCATCTCGGGCAGATATGGCTTCTTTGCCAAAGATCTCAACACACTGTTTATTCAGGTCCCGACAGTGCCCTCCATAGCAATGCCCTTGTCCTGTGCATGGGGTGCCATCTTGTTTGTAGACATCTGGTTGGCACCACATGGAGGTACCATTGCAATATTCAGGGAGGTCACACTCATCCTTACTGGGACGGCAAACACTGCCCCCTTAACCGAAATTGGCAGCCCTCACAGCAGGGCCCGAAGGCGCACACAGAACCTTTAGTCATCTTGCATGTGGGAAGACAGCAAGGGTCCTTCGAGCAGGTCTCAACACTGCCACAGTCACACTCCTCCCCTCTGTCTAACACTCGGTTCCCACAGACTGACTTCCTCATTATTCTGCTGGGGTCTGGCTTTTCATAGAGGCAGATCCCACCGCGTGTCCTCAGGTATTCATAGTAGTTGTCAATACTGCAGTTACTGTAACGACTCTCATGGGTGACAGCGTCATTCATGATGCAGGAAGATTGTTCACCACATCTGCAGCCTGAATGGTCATGCATCATGCCTAGGGTGTGGCCCAGCTCATGGGCCAGGAGGTTAGTGAAGCGGGTTATGTCTTCATGGTAGAATGAATCAATTGTTGCAGCTTTGTAGTATGTACAAGTACCTCTGAAATAGGCATCGCCCATCGCACTTCCGGTATTATGCCCTACGATCAGATGGGCAATATCGTGAATCACCCTACGGAAGACGTAATCAGTCCTCCATCTATTGAAAGCCATAAGGGCGAACCTTATATTCAGTGAAATATGGATCAGATTTCCCTCTGTCCAGATCTCCAAACCAATCAGGACGACTCTGGTGTTGAACTCATGGGTGAAGGTGTCTAGCTGTGAGACGACGTCCATCACCTTCTCGGTTGTCTTGGTCACATTTTCATCCCACATTTCGAACCTTTTCTTGTCGACCACAATGTACGTCTTCACATACTTGGTGTGTGACCAGATGTAATCCATAGAGGCTCTCTGAAGTTCCCTCTCTCTCTCATCCATATCAGCTACATCTTGTTTCCCTTTTAAATGGCTCCTGAATTGAAGAGGTTCCCTCTTAGGCCCCTTGCAGGTAATGAACGTGTCCTTTTTCATTTTGTACAGGACGTGTTCAAACTTACTTGAGGCATCAATGGGCTCAATGTTGTAGACTGTTTTCTCTATGGTTATTATGCCCTTGAGGCCAGAGCAGGTACTGAGAGACACTAGGGAGCCCAGATCATTTTCCACATATCCATCATAGTAGCAGTCATCTGGGAGAAAAGGCATGTCCAAAACTAGCTTCCCTTTGTAGTAAGTGTAGACAGGGAAGTTCTTAGCAAATAGCCCTCTCTTTTGTTTCAGATGAATCACCTGCCTCTTGCCTCTCATAAATATTGAATAGGAGATTTTTCCTGCTCCTTCTCCTTCCCTGTTCATTAATCTCTTGGGGATGACTACTTCATAGGAAGCATAATATACTGATCCCAAGGCACAATGAGTGCCTGGAAGGAGTACTGCTATCAACAGAAGGAAGAACCCCCAGCTGGCATGGGAGGACCCCAGCCCAAGACCCCATTCCCACATGGGGGGCACTCTGAAAGAAAACTCTCTTTCTTCTTCATCCATGGCCACTTGGCTGCACAGGAGGGGAGTCAGGGGACACAGCTCGGGCTATGTCCCCAGCCCTGACCCCAGAGAAGCAACTGATGCTGCTGGGCCTCTGCCCTTAACTCCTCACCTGGACCCTGGTCCTCTGAGTGACATGATCTTGAAAGCTGTGTAGGCTGTTCATTGCCCTCCCAGAGCAATCCTAGGATGTCAAGTGGCCCTCTGACTCCCTCCCATCTTGGGCCCTTAGGGTTCCAGTCTGTGTCTTCCTATGGCAGCAGCAGCAGCCTGGGCCCTCTGTAAATCCCTCTGGTCTCTAGATAAGTTTCTTCAGCCTCCACACTGGATGCACTGACTGCAGATGGCCTCCTAGTATCTTGTCCCTGGAGAGAAGGAAAAAAAATGGCTCCCCTCCCTTTTATCCTCCATCACAATGGCAACCCCTCTCCCACCCTTTGTATCCCAGAGTTACAGAGCTGGGGTGGGGTGGGGCAAAGGTCCCTGGGGGTGGCTCTCAGTTGGCTGGCTTTCTCCTTTGGCCAAAGCCAGTATTATTACTTTTGTTTCACACTGCCAATACTATCTCTGTCTCTGATTCAGAGCTCCCTCCATGCCAAAAGGTTTTGGCCTGACCCTTGATAGGTAGCATGAGACCTGTTTGAGCCCTTCCTCGCCCCAAGGAGGTTGAAAACCCGGACTGGTCAATCACAAGGGGACATTTTGTCCCAGTCTGAGTTAACATGCCATAATCCTTTGGGATGCTCTCTGAGTGAATCCAGAGTTTTCCTGCTAGATGAAGCTGACCAGAGCATTCTCCTGTTTATGACTGATGAGGGCCAGTCACTGTGAACCTGACACTATCTTGATGAATGGTATTTCTCTCATCTCATTGTTTTAGGGACCCTATCCTACCGTGACGCTCTCTTATTTTATGACATTCTCTTGTTTATGGCTGACAGAAACCAGGCACCCTAGGGGCACTGTCTTGTTCTATGGAAAGTATAATTTTACTGACAAAGGACACAGGGGAAAGGGAGGAGAAAACAGTTCCTTGCTGTATGGGTATATGGTGTCCTTCAAATGGCCTTTCTTTGAGCTCATTTCCCAATGAACTCACATGGATGTTGTGCATTGTTGACCTGAAAGTTTGGTTAAAGAAGACAAAGAAATTAGGTGATACATGATTATATAATTTATTCCCTTTTAGCTAGCGAATCATGTATACATGCAAGGCAGAACATGATTCTGGTTCTGAGATTAAGTGAAATGAGGAAGGTTTTATACAGTTTAGAGTGATCAGACTCAGGATGTCTGTATTACAAAAAAAAAAAGGTATAGCCTCTATATGTTTCTTAACATATAGCATAAAAAGGAAGTTTCTTAATTGCATAGATTGTAAATACAATAGACGAACATCAAAGTATCAATCAAATTATAGATCCAGGATAAGGGTTTCCTCTACATATGACCATAGGATACAAAAAAAGGAAAAGTCTCATTAATCAAGACAGTGTCTGGTCCCAGACATCCTGGGCTCAGCGATGATGAACAGGAAGAATGCTGGTCAGTTCCATCTGATCCTGAAATTTGCTGACGCAGGAAGGGGTGTTTTTAGTTCACTCATAGATAAAAAGATTAATTCAGGTTTTTGGCCCTTATTGGGACTCAGTTGATCTTAAATGATTGTCATTTCCTCCTTTTGGTCAAAGGTAAGCTGAAGGCTTCACCTGTAGATCAAGAAAGGTGTGGGGAAAAACCTTCCTCTTCCTCAGGGGATGGAAAGAGTTGTCCACTTGCAACAGGCATCTTCAGATGATCCTGGAGTACACATGCAGAAGTTGGCAGCTATTGGAGTAATCACATAGAGCTGATAGAGGCTCTTAGAAGATGTATGAGTCGATAATTGAGAGAAAATAGCGTAACATAAGTCTTTAATTAAAGCCACGTAGAGATAGTTCAGTTTTTCCAGCCATGCAGGGCTAGGTTCAAACAATACAACAAAGTTTTCTCATAATTCACAAAATTGCATAATTACTTCAAGTCAGGTACAGATTAAATCACTTGAAGGGTTCACAATAGACTAGTTTTGAGAAGGGAGATTTACATGTCACCAGGATGACCGAGAAAACCTTAAATATGAACCATACAAATCAATACAATCATTATTACCAATGTTAACTAACATTAAGTTCCTTGCTCATGTACAATAGGCTTAATTCATAGGCAGTTCAAAAAGGGAGCTCTCTTCTCTGGTTTAGATTTAGAAGTTCCCAGATAATTCTGACTTAGTATAAATTAGTACAATCACTAAAATTTGGTTCTCTATTTTTGATATCATCTGCTGCTTCTGTTCTTATCTACACCCTGTACCTGGTATAAGAATTGTTTAAAATGTGAAGATCCAACCATAAAATGAGCTTTCCTGCCTTTTAAAATTATCAGATACTTTAATGAAGGAGAAATAATTTCACGTACTTTTACAACTATCCTATACAATTTTTGAGTAAAAATCCAAATTTGAGATCTTTTTATCAAAACATGCTTAAAGCTTGGATTTCCATGATTGGTACATTTTGGAAACCAATCATGTACATCTGTATATAATTCTTGGAGGAATCAGTCTAATCCTGTTGCTTTTCTCAAAATTTGCTGTCCTATTTAATTAGACATCTATCGCATTACATCTTTGTCTTTTTACTTCGTCTAAACATTTCCTCCTTAGGAGGGTGTTATTGCTATATTATTATTATTTGGCCATGAATGTAAGTTAAAGTTGTAAGCTATTCATACTTGCATCCTATTATGGTAACTCAGAGATGTTCCAGAGGGACAAGGTCATATATCATATCAGAAGGAGAGAACTTCCTTGGCTCTATTTCATTCCAGGCTTGAGTCATATCTGATAGCCAATCATGTAGTCACTGGATGTTAAAAGGAGGGCTTCGGATTAATCAGGTGGGGAATTTTCCTTTTCAGAAAGGAAATAGCACAATTGGGAAATAGAGTCAGGAAGATCCTACCTAGGCTGTGTCTAAGGTCGTCCTCAAAACTCTGCCCAAGGCACAGATGTCCATCTCTAGCAGTTCTCAGCCTGCAGCACATGCCATCCTACTATTGGCTTCATGACAACTCAGACAATTATCCTGGTAATCAAAGCTCAAAACAATAGTAAATTGCTGTCCCATAAAATCACATATCCTAGATAATAAGAATTTAATCTCACATTGGTAACAGTAAGAGACTGATCACAGAAAAATACTACTGCTGTCATAATTCCTTTAAACAATGGGAACATCTTAAGGTGAGTCTTCAGAAGTTTGTATAAATTTCTGCACATGTTCGAATTCCAGATTAATAATAATATTAGATTTCCCATTAAGTTAACACAAAAGAGCTCATAAATTACTACTCTTCACTAACTAACACTGGAATCCTAATCCTTAAACAAAACAAAGAGTTACTAACTTTAACCTCAAGTTGATGGATTTATGTCCTTGTTCACAAGCTTGTTTATTCTTCTCTAATTATACTCACTCTGAAAGAATGAGATATTTCAGATTTGAATCTTATACATATAAGTTCAAACACTAATTTAACTCTTGCTTAGGCCATGAATGACTACAGATTCAGATCAAAACAGCAAGATCTCTTCTGCTTTACAGCTCATTACAATAATTTAGCAGTAAGTTATCTTGCAAATGAAAATTTTGTAGGCCTAAAAAAATCAAACAAGACATTCTTCTAAAAGTATTTCCCTTCTTTAAAAACAGTTTAAAATTTGTCCTGATGTTAAGAAGAATAATCACTAAACTTTTATGAAGAACATTTGGAATTTTTAAAGTGATAGATATCTTTCCTTTCCACCTTAAAGTAAAAATAAACCTTTAAATTGGAATTCATTAAAACTAAGTTGATAAAATGTCCTTAAGTAACATAAATAACTTCCCAAAGTACTATAACAAACTAAATTCCTAGTTGTTACAGAATTCCTAGATATCACAAAGTTCCTTAGTCAAAAAGGTGTTTGTAATGGAGAAAAAAATTCAGTTTTTATAATGCATAAAGAACATACCCATTTAAATTAGCCTTATCACAATAAAAAATATTATCAAGCTTTAAAAATTTACTCAGTATTTTTTTTTCCTTTGTCTTTAAATATATCACTGGAAATTAGGAAAAACTATTACATTCTGGAATCTCAAAGATAGTGAATGTGGTAATCCATAAATCTTCAAATTAACATATTTCAAGGATTCTCATTTACTCAGGAATTTCACAACACAGGAAACTTTTACACAGATTTGATAAGAATTTTAGGTGAAACTTCCTCTTAAAAGCAAATAAAACTTGGAAGTTTATTCTAAACCATTCATTCTCCCCTATTATTATTATTTTGGGAGGGGTGACAATTCTTGATCTAACATCTCTGGATTATAAGAGAAATTGCTTTTTTTTCAACAGTATAGCTGATACAATTTGTTTACCAGATTACACCATATAAAAAATCTCAGAAATATAACATACCATAAACAATTATCAGGTATTTAAAACTTGAAACAGAACCAATTAATTACCTGCTTACAACCAAATATACCTCATTAAATGTTAACAGTTTTCAAATTATCCAATTTTATCACATCCTTTTAAAAGACAAACCATATGTACCATTTCTACCTCACAATGATCTCTCAAATTTTACAATCTAAGAAAGTTTTAGAAATACAATACAATTTAGAAACATACTAACAACACAAACAATAAACTTCAGATGACATCAGTTGCATTTCCAGATTATCACGTATAGAAATTATTGATCTTATTACTCAGTATTTAAAAACCACTTCAAAGTTATCAGGTATGGAACAATTACATTAAATTAGAGAGATAATAAATGTTGTCTAACATATGTCATTGTGTTAAGCACTTTGCAATCATTATATCGTTTTGATCCCATAACAACAACCATTTATTTTTCCCTTTACAAATCAGGAATCAGGGCAAACAGAGATAAAATACCTTGCCATAAATTCCAAAACTGGAACAGAGAAGTATGGGGCTTACCAAGAGTAGAAGTTGGCTTCTCACCTCATAATGCTATTGCCAGGCCTTCCAGGGGTTTGGGTGGCTGATACCAGGGCTTTGCCAGTGGTGATAATTCTTGGTGGCAATGGATCTATCATAGTTCTGACCTGTCCACTTCTCTCCTCCCACAGCTGCATAATTTACTGAGGCTGGTGCCGTTTGCAGCTGCTGGGGCAGGCTGGGCAGAATGTACTGAACCTGGATGTTAGTCCCAGGTGTTGCCTAGAAGGGTAGGCTGCAAGGTGCCCAGGGGCATAGGGCTGATAGCAGACTATCACTGCTAGTCTGTGTTAGCTGCCCCTCTCCTCCTTTTGCCAGATGGGAAGGCTGATTTAAGTTTTCCCTACAATTCTCCAGCATTCTCTTTTTCAGTCCCCTTATTGAGATGCTTATCTCTGAGGGGGGAGTGGGAATGCTGAGGAATCAGGATTGGAAGGAGGTGTTTTAGCAGAGGGTGAGCTCCTGGAATACCCCCAGTCTCAGAAGTTTTCTCCAACAGTCCCAAAATGAACAACTTCCCAATTTCTTAATGATTAATCTCAAAACCTTTAGAATCTGCTAAGAAGTCTTTAGCTGTATCTAACTTTTCACTGTAGTCTAGGCTGGCCAGGCCTGGACCCAAAAGAAAGGAGTTTTACAGTTTGTTGTTTCCCTAGCTGCAGCCCTTAGAAGTCTCTGGCTGCATTTAAAATCTTATAAGATATAGATACAGAGATACACACCGACAGACAAATTGACAGGACAAATACAATACAAACATAATGACATAGTGCGCACTTAATGACACAGAGAAAGGGAATTAGAGGCTTGTTAGAAAACCCCCAACACGAATTGGTTGTTATTATTATTATTCTGAGGAAAGGGGGTTGGGGAATTTGCAAGGATCCAAGACCTGATAGTGTAACTGGATCTTGGAAGCCTTCCTCAGAGTACCCCTGAGCTTGAGGTTTAAAAGGGCAAGTCCCAATGAAGTTAAGTTTGATGATCTGAGTCCCTGTCAGGACCATAGCCTTTAAGGGAAAGGGAAGACGGAAGGGGATTATTTGGAGCCTAGGAAAGAGTGCTGAAGAGGCTTTGCGAGCCTTAAGGGAAGAGGCTTCTGCCTTTCCTTCTCCCTCAGCCATCTCAGCAACCCAATGATGAAAGCATTCCCACTCCTGGTTAGATGTTTTGTTGGCTTTTAAACCTGATTTGGTTTTAAGATAAAGTAACTTTGACCAGTCAAAAGAACCCCATATTGTGGCCAACATAATTTGGGGCTATCTTTAGTTAATTGATATCAGTGCTAGCAGTACTTGTGATCACCAGATTAGCAATGGCTTCACATATAAGAGGTTGTGTTGTTAGCCAGATTTCTGGTTTTAGTTTCTGACTGATCCATAGCCAATTTCTCTAGATTGATCCTTACCAGAGGGGACTTAAATGATACAGTAGCCGGAGTTTCTGAACTTCGACTTGATCCCTGACCCCAGAGCTAACTTAAAGGGAATTTTCTTTCAGACTTCAACCAAACTGGTGGGAGGTCCATGGAATCTGGAAATAAGAGAAACTTAACCAACCTGGTCAAGGTTAGGACTCCAGGAAAAAATGGATCCTGAGGTGCCTGAGCCACTAAAGCGTTGCTGGAGTGGACTGGAGTTTTCTCCCATTCCTTCAGTTCCAATCCGAGTCACGGCACCATTACTGTCAACCTGAAAGTTTGGTTAAAGAAGGCAAACAAGTTAGGTGATACGTGATTATATAGTTTATTCCCTTTTAGCTAGTGAATCATGTATACATGCAGGGCAGAACGTCATTCTGACTCCAAGATTACGTAAAATGACAAAGGTTTTATAGAGTTTAGAGTGATGAGACTCAGGATGTCAGTGTTACAAAAAAAAAAAAAAAGCATAGCCTCCATATGTTTCTTAACATACAGCATAAAAAAGGAAGTTTCTTAATTGCACAGATTGTAAATACAATACGACGTCGAAGTATCAATCAAAATTATAGATCCAGGATAAGTGTTTCCTCTACATATGTCCATAGGATACAAAAAAAGGAAAAGTCTCATTAATCAAGAGAGTGTCTGGTCCCAGACATCATGGGCTCAGTGATGAAGAACAGGAAGAATGCTGGTCAGTTCCATCTGTTTCTGAAATTTGCTGATGCAGGAAGGGGTGTTTTTAGTTCACTAATACAAGAAAAGATTAATTCAGGTTTTTGACCCTTATTGGGACTCAGTGGATCTTAAATGATTCTCAACATGAATGTCTGCCTCTGTGTGAGAAATAAACATGCTCATACAGCCTAGCTCTGTTTGCCTCTCTTAGAATGAACACTGCAGGTGGACAGCAGGCAGTCCCCCCTGTCTAGGGACAGAGTTAGGAAAGAATTCTTTCTCCAAGGGAGGAAAGAATGAGAGATTGAGTCACTGGGGCTTCTGTATGCATACACTGTTTTCATTTTGATGGCCAATCAAAAAGTCTCATCACCGCACAATTAGGGGACAGGAAACAGTCAGATGACCTGTACCTGCTCTGAAGTATTGAGCAGGGCCTTCACCATGGTGCACGCCTGGAAGCAGACCCAGCAAATATCCATGTTAGGGACTGCATCAGGCAGAGCATGCTTTGCATACTCTGAAGGCCTGGCCTCTTATTGGTCAGTCCCCCATCAGGTAGTCAGTGAGCACTTAGTAAGCACCTAGTATGTGCCAGCCAATAAGCATTTATTAAGTGCCTGCTGTGTGCCAGACACTGTGCTGAGTGCTCACATACAAACAGAGGCAAAAAGAGAGTTCCTCCCCATGAGCAGCTCACAATGTAATGGGGGAGAAAACAAGCAAGAAGTTATATACAGGAAAATAGGAAATAATTAACATAAACTAGGCAGGAATTGAGAGGGATCAGAAAGAGCTTCCTGTCAGAGGGGAGATTTTAGCTGGGACTGCAAGGAAGCCAGAGAAGCCAGGAAGAGGAGATGAAGAGGGAGAGTGTTCCAGGCTTGAAGGACAGTCAGTGAAAATGCCCAGAGCTGAGAAATGGAGGGGGTTGTTGATGGGCAGAGGGAAGGAATATATCAGGAGATGCTGGTGGTATAAAAACAAAAGGCATCCGTAAAACATTTAAAAAAAAGAAAAAGACATGATTCTCCTTGGACAGGCCCTTCAGGGCAGTTTGCACAAAGCTTAGAATAAAGGACCCTTCAGACAATTTGTATAAGTCTCGGAACAGAGCAGGATGCTTGAGCACTGAATGTGAGTGGATATATCTTTGATCACCAGAAACAATTCTCTTCTTCCCATACCAAAGCACCAGATCCCTGCATGGTCTCTTCCTTGACCCTGTCCTATTGTCTTCCTACCTGGAGGAACCCCCTGCAATACTCCAGACTTTACTGTTTCTACTTCCTGCCAGCCTGAGCACCAACATCATGATTGGTGACACCTGTCAGGTAGAACGGGCAATGCCTCAACTGTCCTCATTCCCGCCCCCCTCCACACACACACACACACACACACACACACAGTGTAGCAGAAAGAGCACTGACCTTGGAATCAGAGAACCTGCATTTGAAAGTTCATTCTGTCACTTGGACAAATTATTCCAACTCTCAGGGTCTCAGTTTGCTTACCTGTTCCATGAGGTGGACCCTTTCTGCTCTAGATCTAAGATCCCATCAACACTTACTACCTACGTGACCTCAGGCGAGTCCCACAGCCTCCCTGGACCTGTTTCCTCATCTGTAAAATGAGGTAGTTGAACTGGATGCTGTCTAAAGTCTTTTCCGGCTCTCAGTCTGTGAACCTGTGAAGGAGTACCAGAGCCCAGAGGGGCAGGCTCCATCACTCAGAGGGTAGGGGAATTTCAGTGGGAGGAGGAGAGAGTGGGACAGGGAAGTGGTTAGTTCCGTGCTGCTTTGGAGGCCATCTCCATAACAGAACTTGGTCCCTTGTGAGAAGGCTAGCGTACGGCCAGGCTGCTCTGGTTTAGACAAGGTCCAAGGTCATCAGTCCATCGATGGCCCAGAAAGGAGGCTGTGCGCCAGAGGGAAACACAAGGGAACAGACCAGGGAGTGGTCTTGCTTTGGGAAATAGAGCAGAGCTCTATTCCCATTCACACCTACGGCCCCCACCTCTGGAACTGTTGGATTCAAAGCCAGCAGAGCAACGGATGGTTGAGTGGTGGGGGAGGGGGTTTCCATGGTTCTGAGGGATAAGGGGAGGAGACATGATTTTTATTTTGACACTGGGTCCCATCCAAGGCTAGGGTACTGTGATAAAACCCCCACTGTAAGGACAGAAGGAGCTCATTCAGGGAGGAGATCCAAAGAGCCCTGGTTGCTGTTGCCATAGGGATATCACAAAAGCAGATCCTGTGTTAGGGTCATCGGCAGAGAAGTGGGTCATCTGAGAGCCTGGGGATTCTCTGGGGGTGAGAGCCAACTCTTCTGCACGCAGCTTATATAGACTTGGGGGTGAGATAGGGCCATGTCACCCAGAGGACCGGGGGCTGAGTCAAGGTGCTGAAGGACAGAGGTCCAGTATCATTAACTGCCTCTCTCAGGTCATATCCGTGGCTGCGTCTCCAGCTATGCTCCCTCCTGGAGAGTCAAGAGGCCATGGATGAGGAGCAGAAAGAGTTTGCATCCAGGGGTCCCCAGATGGAAAGCTTGGGATTTGTACCCAGTCCCTCCCATGTCAAGTTGGGGGTCTTCTTACTGTTGGTGGAGCTCTTTCTTCCAGGCATGTACTGCATTCAGAGATCAGTGTATTTCTCTTTCTATGAAATCATCATCCCCAGGAGATTGGTGAGCTGGAGGAGAGAAGACCAGCCAGAGAAAATGCACTATTCATTCCTTATGAAAGGGAGTTGGCATGTTATTAGCCTGAAGCAGAAAAGAGGGCTCTCTGTCCAGAATTTCCCAGTCTATACCTACTCCAGTGGGATCCCAGGCCTGGACATGCCTTTTATTCAAGATGATTGCTACTATGACGGGTACCTAGTAGGTGACCAGGGGTCCTCCGCATCCATCAGTACCTGCTCAGGACTCAAGGGAATCCTTATCATCCAGACGATTGCCTTTGGCATCCTGCCAGTGAAATCCTCCAAAAAATTTGAACACGCTGTGTATCGCTTGTCTAAGGTATCACGTGATGCCTGTGGGGTCAAGGAGAGGGAAAGCCACGAGTTCTGGGCAAGCATGAAAGGCCTTGGCCCGAGGGAACTCTCCCCAGCACACTTCCCCTATGCCTGGTCACAGACTAAGTACTTGGAGATCTTTATGGTGGTAGACAACATTCGGTTCCAGATGTGGGACAGGAACGTGACCACGACCGCTCAGACACTCGTGGATGTCCTCACTCTGGTCAACCAACGCATGAAGCAGATCAACTTGGAAGTAGTGTTGGCCGGGGTGGAGATCTGGTCTGAGAGGGACTTGGTGCAGATCTCTTGGGACCTGCAAGAAACACTCTATGGCTTTAACCGATGGCAAGCTTCAGAACTGCCCAAAAGGGCAAGGTATGATGCTGCTCACCTGGTCACTGGGCAGGATCTCGGGAGCCACCAAGGCCAGGCGTTTGTGGGGAGCATCTGCACCTCTGGGAACATGACAGGTGTGGAGGTCTTCCATCACGAAGACGTGCCTCGATTTGCAGCCCTCCTGGCCCATGAGCTGAGCCACAACCTGGGCATGAAGCATGATCATCCAGGCTGCACCTGCCCAGATTCGCTCCTTTGTTCCATGCACGTGTCCATCACCCCGGAGGGGAGCTTCAGCAACTGCAGTGTGGAAAACTTCTATGAGAAGCTGGGCAGGGGCCAAGGGGGCTGCCTGTACAACAAGCCAGAGCCGAGGAGCCCCTTTGGAAGGCAGTACTGCGGGAACAAGATTGTGGAGGAAGGGGAGGCATGTGACTGCGGCAGTCAGCACGCCTGCATGAAGGACCCGTGCTGCCTGCCCTCCTGCCGGCTGAAGAAAGGCTCAGACTGCGGTTTTGGAGCGTGCTGCAGAAAGTGCAAGTTTCTGAAGGCAGCCACACCCTGTCGTCCCAGCGTGGATGAGTGTGACCTCCCCGAATACTGTAATGGCAGCTCCATGTGGTGCCAGCCTGACACCTACAAGCAAGATGGCACCCCGTGCAGTGGCGGAGGTTACTGCTACCAGGGGCGGTGCAGGAGCCTGCAGAGCCAGTGTGTGGAGGTGTTTGGTGAGGGCTCCAGAGCCGCTCCAGCCCGCTGCTATCACATGAACACCCGTGGTGACCGGTTTGGGAACTGTGGCAGCAAGTGGCAAGGGCCAGTCAGGGTCTTCATTAAGTGCCAACCCAAGGACATCATGTGCGGGAGCTTGTACTGTGAGAATGTGCAGAGGCTTCCCCATATAAAGAGCCACCATGCTTTCATCCAGTTCCGCATGGAAGACACATGGTGCTGGGGGGCGGATCTTCACAATGCCCTGGACGTCCCCAATGATGGCTCAGTAAAAGATGGCACCTCGTGCGGCCCCTGGAAGATCTGTATCAACCAGTCATGCGTGGATGCTGAGGCCACGCTCCACCATGACTGCAGCCTGGTCAGATGTCATGAGAGGGGGGTCTGCAACAACCTCAAAAACTGTCACTGTGATTACGGCTACAGCCCGCCCACTTGTGAATCCCAGGGCCAAGGCGGCAGCCTGGACAGTGGTCCCTCCCCCAAGGTCAGGGCCATCCACCCGAAGCTGGCTGCCTTGTTCTGGCTCCTGATGGCCACTGCCCTGCTGCTCACGCCTATTGCCTTTGTGGGGATTTGCTTCTGGAGGAAGATGGAGAAGGCCCAGGCCAAAGAGCTGGAGGTTCAGGGTAGTTCAGTGGATAGAGAGGTCGGCTAGGCACAAGCCCCCGGCTTCACAGGGCCCTTTCATTTCTGTACGCACTCGTAACAGTCCAGCAGAAGGCAAGGCCATCAGCCCCTCTCCTCCCCGCAAGACACCAGGCTCTGCTAGGAAGATGGCGATGCGTCCAGTTTCTTTTTTAATTAAAAATGAATGCATATCACTTCCACTAAAGTCCTGTTGAAACCTCATGGGGTGTAGAAGTGACTGACAGAAGGTTTTCAATTCAGTTCAAGCCTTTAGCGAGTTGGTACAGGGCTGGGCTGCAAAGCAGGAAGTTCAGTCCAGTCATGTCAGTCATGCTCAACTCTTTGTGACCCTGTTTGAGTTTTCTTGGCAGAGATACTGCAGTGGTTTGCCATTTCCTTCTCCAGGTCCAAGTAGGGTGAAGTGACTTGCCCAGGGCCACACAGCTAGTAAGTATCTGAGGTCACACATTTGAACTCAGGAAAATGAATCTTCCTGACTTTAGGCCTGGCACTCTTTGCACTCTGGCGCCATCTAGCTGCCCACTGGAGTCAGGATAACCTGAATTTAAAGCCAGCCTCAGACTTTCACTGACTGTGTGACCCTGAGCAAATTCACTTAACCTCTGTCTGCCTCCTTTTCCTTATCTGTAGAATGGAGATAACATTTGTTTGGGTTATTTGGAATATAAAATGAGATGATGTTTGTAAAGTGTTTCACAAACCACTATATAAATGTTGGTTTTTATTGTTATTACTTCAGCTATCTGAGGACAAGGAAACAGCGTTTTATGGTGGAATCAATCCATAGGCACTTATTAGGCACTTACTGTTTGCCTAGCACTGTGCCAAGTTCTTTCTAGAGCACTGACTCTGGAGTCCAAGTACTTAAATGCTACCTATGACACTACCTGTGCGAGTCACTGCCTCAGTTTCCTCATCTGTAAAATGAGGGGGTTAAACCAGATGGCCTCAGAGGGCCCTTCCAGCTCTAGATTGGGGCCTGTGGATAGATTTCAGAGGGAAGAAGGGGAGATGTCAACTTGTATGGGGAAAAAATGGTATCTATATTAAGCTCAAACTGAACTCTAAAATTGCCTTTAATTATTTAAAAATCTAGGGGCAGCTAGGTGGCTCAGTGGATAGAGCACCCGCCCGAAGTCAGGAGGACCAGAGTTCAAATCCGGCCCCAAGCCAAACACTTGACACTTACTAGCTTTGTGACCCTGGGCAAGTCACTTAAGCCCAATTGCCTTAAAAACAATTATTTAAAAACCTGATTTTGAGAGGAGGTCTGCAGACTTCTCCAGTCCATCTGCCCAAGAGATCCAGGACACAAGATCAAGAAGCCCTGAGCTAGGTCCATGATCACACATCCTACTGCCTGGTTGGCACTGTGTGATGGATAGAGAGACAACAAAGAAATGATCCCTGTCCTCAGAGAGGTTACATTCTCCTAAAGAAGTCAGTACAAAACATATACAGCTTCAATACAAGGGAGAGTCAGTGTGGTGGAATGGATATACCAGATCGGGGCAGTCCTACCCTGACCCCATGCTCAGCTACGCAACCCCAGTCAGTCAGTCAGTCAGCATTTATTAAGCACCTACTATGGATCAGGCACCATGCTACCTAAGCCTCTCGGGCCACTCTTCAATAAGATGTTTATATATTGCCAGCTCTGAAGTTGGAGGCCCTGGGTTGAAATTCCATCTCTGAGACTTAACATTTAGGTCACCTTGGGCAAGTCATGTCCCCTCCCTGGCCTCAGTTTCCTCATTTGTAAAGTGAGTGGGATGGAATACATGACTTCTGAGGTCCTTTCTAGCACGAGGTCTATGAAATGAAATACCAACCTGTTTCCACACTGTGAGTTCCCTAGCCTCATGGACAAAACCAAACAAAATAAAATTACCTAAGACTTGGAGATGAGGGGAGAGCATTAGCAGATGGCAGTGGAGAGGGGAGATGAGACAAGGCCTTGTAGAGGAGGGGGATCCATAACTGAGCCCTGATGAGAACTCAAGATTCTAGGATGTGGAGGTCCTCAGAGGGTTGGCAGCAAACAAGCACAATGATGGGACAGGAGGGAGGGGTCAGTGGCCAGTGCTTCCATTCTCACCTCAAATGCTGACCACCTGTGTGGACATTGAACAAGGACCTCCCTTAGCCCCCCTGTGTCCTTATCTGTAAAAGGAGGCAGACCAAATGTCTTCCAAGGACACTTTTAACTCTAGAACAAGATCTTACAATCACCAGGTTCAGGCGGGCTCTGCCACGCTAGAAGGACTTTAGGAACCATCCCAGTGTCTGGTATGTCTATGTCCATGTCCATGTCCAAGACCATGTCCGTGTCCATGTCCATGTCCAAGTACGTGTCCATGTCCAAGTCTATGTCTATGTCTATGTCTATGTCTATGTCTGTGTCTGTGTCTGTGTCTGTGTCTGTGTCTGTGTCTGTGTCTGTGTCTAAGTCTATGTCTGTGTCCAAGTCTATGTCTATGTCTATGTCTATGTCTGTGTCTGTGTCTGTGTCTGTATCTGTGTCTATGTCTGTGCCCAAGTCTATGTCTATGTCTATGTCTATGTCTGTGTCTGTGTCTGTGTCTGTGTCTGTGTCTGTGTCTAAGTCTATGTCTGTGTCCAAGTCTATGTCTATGTTTATGTCTATGTCTGTGTCTGTGTCTGTGTCTGTGTCCGTGTCCGTGTCCGTGTCCGTGTCTGTGTCTGTGTCTGTGTCTGTGTCTGTGTCTGTGTCTAAGTCTATGTCTGTGTCCAAGTCTATGTCTATGTCTATGTCTATGTCTGTGTCTGTGTCTGTGTCTGTATCTGTGTCTATGTCTGTGCCCAAGTCTATGTCTATGTCTATGTCTATGTCTGTGTCTGTGTCTGTGTCTGTGTCTGTGTCTAAGTCTGTGTCCAAGTCTATGTCTATGTTTATGTCTATGTCTGTGTCTGTGTCTGTGTCTGTGTCTGTGTCTATGTCTATGTCTGTGTCCAAGTATATGTCTATGTTTATGTCCATGTCCATGTCCAAGTCTATGTCTATGTCTGTGTCTATGTCTATGTCTATGTCTATGTCTATGTCTGTGTCCGTGTCCGTGTCCGTGTCCGTGTCCGTGTCCGTGTCCGTGTCCGTGTCTGTGTCTATGTCTGTGTCTAAGTCTATGTCTGTGTCCATGTCCATGTCCAAGTCTATGTCTATGTCTATGTCTGTGTCCGTGTCCGTGTCCGTGTCCATGTCCGTGTCCGTGTCCGTGTCTAAGTCTATGTCTATGTCTATGTCTATGTCTGTGTCCGTGTCCGTGTCCGTGTCCGTGTCCGTGTCCGTGTCTATGTCTAAGTCTGTGTCTGTGTCCGTGTCCGTGTCCGTGTCCGTGTCCGTGTCCGTGTCCATGTCTAAGTCTATGTCTATGTCTATGTCTATGTCTATGTCCATGTCCAAGTCTATGTCTATGTCTATGTCTGTGTCTATGTCTATGTCTATGGCTGTGTCTGTGTCCATGTCCGTGTCTGTGTCTAAGTCTATGTCTATGTCTATGTCCATGTCTTTCTGTTTCTGTTTCTGCATCTGTGTCTATGTCTATATCTTATGTCTATGTCTGTTTCTATGTCTGTGTCTGTGTGTTTATGTATATGTATATGTATATGTATGTGTATACACATACATATATACATGTCCACATGTATATATGTTTGTGTGTTCATACATGCATGCATGCATATATTTAATTTTTTTCCAATGCCTGCTCAGACAGCCTGGCTAAATGTGGAGATGACCACTAACAGAAGGCTGGCCACCAAGGGTTGAATTTTTCAGCTACAGCAGCTCACGAAGTTCATCTGTTTAGACAGAGAGACAAGAATAGGTGTCAATGTATGTCACCATCTACACTGACCAATCACGTATCCTTGAGGTATTGCCATGAATTTGTTGTTCGGTCGTTTCAGTCTTGTCCAACTCTCCATGACCCCGTCTGGGGATTTCTTGGCAAAGATGCTGTAATGGTTTGCCATTTCCTTCTCCAGCTCATTCTACAGGTGAAGAAATTGAGGGAAACTGGGTTAAGTGACTTGTCCAGGGTCACACAGCTAGAAAGTGTCTGAGGACAGATTTGAACTCAAGAACATAAGCCTGACTCCAGGTCCTGTATTCTATGTGCTATGGCGCCACCTAGCTGCCCCCTTGCCATCAATAGGAAAAGTAAGTAGAAGCCCAGTTCTTGAGTGAGGTACTTGTCCTGATTCGGTTCCCACCTGAAATGAGATCTCCTGAGGGGGGACAATAGTGAGGGCCCAAGAGCCATTCTGGAAACAGAGATGTCAAGCCAACAGAAGCCCTGGGTTCAAATCCCAGCTGTTGGTCTTTAATCTCCCTCATCCTCAGTTTCTTTCTCTGTTAAATGAGAAGGTTGGAGTCAGTCACCGCTAAGGTCTCCTTCAGCTCCAAATCGATGATCCTCCTGACGTCAGGAGTAGGGAGTGGGTGACACTGTCCAGGACTCTAAGCATCACTCCTGAATTCCCCCAACCTCCTCCCAAGAACCTGTTGGCATGGAGACCTTTGGGCCTCCTTATTAATCCCCCTGGGAGGAGAAGGGATCCCAGGTACCTTAGCAAGCACCTAAAACTCCAGGAGTTCCCACAGAATCCTATTGCAGTCACCTGGCTCACTCTGCCTCTAACTCCATGGCCATGGTGTGATCTTCCCCAGCCTGGTTTTGTCTCTTGAGCTGTGTTGACCCTGCAGTTGGAGACACCAAGCTGTAGTCGCTGGAAAGCTCAGGAGAAGGTGGGCTAGGCATTCCCAGCACCTGATGAGGCTCAGAAGACCCAACCTGGCTTTTCTTGCCCCTCCACTCCCACCCAAGATTCCCAGGCTCTTCATTTTGCAGATGAAGAACTGAGGCCCTGAAAAGTGAAGTATCTCCATGGGTGACATGATGCGTAGTATTGGGCTTGGAGTCAGAAGTCCTGAGTGTGAATCTTAACTCAGACACTGACTGGCCGTGCGACCCAGAGCAAAAGTCACTTAACATCTGTCTGCCTGAGTTTTGCTCAAGATTAGCAGCTACCTCCCAGAGTTGTTAGAATCGAATGAGATAATTTATGTAAAGTGCTTTACAAACCTTAAAGTGATATCTAAAGGCGAGCTATTGCCCAAGATCATACAGACAATAAGTGTGAGAGGCAGGATTTGAACCTGTGTCATCTGACTCCAAGTACAGTCTTCTTTGTACTGCATCTTGTGTGAAACGGGGGCACTGGAGTAGCTGACCTCTGGAGTCACCTTCCAGCTCTGCATCTCTGATCCCCAGACATCAGCTCTCCAATGTTATGGGTCAATAGAGAACAGGAAACGTTATTGGGGACCCAAGAGACCAACTCCTTTTACTACTCGCCAGTTCCCTTCTCTGGGCCTCATTCTTTTCATCACTAAAATGGGGGAGCGGGGAAGAGAAGCTAGGTGGCACAGTGGATGTAGTGTAGGGCCTGGAGTCAGGAAGACTCATCTTGCAGAGTTCAGATCTAGCTGGGTGACCCTGAGCAAGTCACTTCACCCTGTGTGCCTTAGTTTCTTCATCTGTAAAATGAGCTGGAGAAGGAAATGGCAAACCACTCCAGTATCTATGCCAAGAAAACCCCAAATGGGGTCATGAAGAGTCCGACAGGACTGAAACTTTTGAACAATAAAGTGAGGGTGGCAGCTAGGTGGCGCAGTGGATACAGTACCGGCCCTGAAGTCAGGAGGACCCGAGTTCAAATCCAGCCTCAAACCAAACACTTGACACTTACTAGCTGTGTGACCCTGGGCAAGTCACTTAACCCCAATTGCCTAAAAAAAACAACAACAATGAAGTGAGGGGCTTGGACTAGGTAACTTTGGGGGTCCCGTCCAGCCCTAGGTCACCAGTCCTATAATTCTGTGATATGAAACCAACTTGCCCAGAAGTGAGGCCCAGTTACTGATCCTTTAGAATTCCTGATCATTTCTTATCACTTAAAACCATGTAGTGATTTTGAGAGGCTGGTCAAGCGTCAGAATAGAGTGAATAAGAAAATAGAAGAGTATTTGAAAGCCCCCTAGTTCCAGACAAGTCAGGTTTGGGGTCAATCTTGACCTTGTTTTTTCACACTTCTTGAGGGCCCCCCTTTCATACACCCCCTAAGCCCCCACCCCCAAGGCAAGGAAACTCAGGCCTTTGTTATAGTTAATCTCAGACTAGGTGTTGGAGGAAATAAGTGTTTATTCCTCCCCACCTCCAAGACCACAGAGTTGCATGTCTAACAATAACATTTATAAATAATTATCTGGGGTTTTATTGTTTCCACAAGGGAGTTCCACAATTCTGGGCCTCCTTGAGGTAATGATAGCCACCCAGGAGGTGGGGGTGGGCTTATCTCCCTGAACTGAGATCTTTACAACTAGAAATGGACAGTGACAGAAGGAGAAACATAACTGAGAAGAGAACATAAAACCACCCCAGTCACTAATGTCCATGCTCCAGTAGCAGTAATCTTCTGAGGGCGGGAGTGTTGGGGGGACTGGGAGGGGCAGCTCATGGTGGCAGTATCCCACGGTCCTCCTCGCCATCACTGCCTGGTAGGCACATCCTGCAGAGTATCCCCATCTTGGTGGCCCCAATTCCTCTCAAGCTTCAGAAGACAGTGGAGGTAGCATCTGCCGGAGTAGGTCTAGACTCAGGGGCACCTAGAGCACCAGTGTAAAACCTCTTCTGGGAGCGTAGCAGGGGAGTCTGGGTGTCTGCATCCCTCCGAGCCTCCCGCCTAAGCCTGTGGAATCTGTGTTGCGTCCAGCCGTAGACTCCACAGTTGAGCAGACCCTGCGATGCTGCTGTGAGAGCCTAGGGGAAACAGAGGGGTAAAGATGTCTACTTTGCAGTCTCCCACAAGCAACCCTTGCCCAATGAGGACTATTCTGTTCTCAGCCATCCATCAGCCTTTGCCTTTTCAAAGGATATTTCTACTTTGTAGAGTTTTCTTCTTGAGTGGAGGTTACATAGGGAATGGCCAACAAGGAGAGAAAAGAAGCTTGCCTCGGGACACCGCAAGATTTCTACATTGCTGAAAGGCTGGCCACTGCTGAGAAGGCAGGGGAGAGGTGAGCCAGGGGATGGGGACACACACACATTGCACAGTGGTGGTGTTGATACACTCTAAATTTCAGCACCCAAAAGACTGTACTCTGACTATCCCACCCTTGTTACAGGTCTTACATTTCCTCAAGCTCACTCACTGAGCCCTAGCATCAGCTTCCCTGTCCTAACTCATAGTGGACGCTTCCTGTTGCCACCTCAGTGCTACCAGGGTGCTGGTCAGAGAGAGGCAGGGGACAGCCCTCTAGCAGCCTCATCCCATCCCCAGGCTTCAGAAGTTTGAAAGAGTTGGATTAAATGGGGTTTGCCAATTTGTCAATGGCTTCTTAGCACCCTCTGTACCAAGCTGAATCTTCACAGGGACGATTAATTCCCAGGCTGTACATAAAAGCAGAAAGACAGTTCTAGAAGGCCTGATGTGAAGCCAGGGAGAGCTGGGTTCAGGTCCTGCCCCGGACAGACACCAGCTGCATGACCCTCCCTGCTTCTCAGTTTCCTCTTCTATAAAATGACAGAGTGGGACTAGCACCAGGGTGGGAACCTGCCGCCCCAAGGCCCTATAGGACCCTCCGGGTCCTCAAGTGCAGCCTTTTGACTGAATCCAAACTTCGAGTTCTGGACTAGTAGATCCCTAAGGATCATTACCTGTAAGCAGACCACCACCTTCAAGCTTCCCAGAAGTTAAATTCCTCCCAAATATTCTTATCTCCCCCCAAAAATAATTATATTAATTACTACCCAATTTCATGAAAGTATAGCCTAGAGCTTTTGTTTTTTCTTATGTACACCCCACCTCTCCATTTTGCCTTTTTTTTTTTTAAATTTTGGTCCAGACTTGTGATTTCATTGGTATTTTTTGGAACTCTTCTTTTAGGGTCCAGACTTGTAATTTCATTGGTATTTTTTTTATTCTTCTCTTGGGGTTCAGATTTGTGATATCATTGGTATTTTTTCTTCTACTTTGGGGGTCCAGATTTGTGATTTCATTGATATTTTTTGGATTCTTCTTTTGGGATCCAGATCTGTGATTTCATTGTCGTTGGAAATTCCAAGTGTAAAAACGCTTTGCATTGATACAAATCAGCTGTTTATAGTCTTAGAAAGTTGCCTGGGTCACTGAGAAGTTAAATGATTTGCCAGAGGTCATCCAGTTAGGATAGGTCAGCGGCAAGATTTAAACTCAGATCTTCCTGACTCCAAATCTGGCTTTCTCTTTACTACATCATGCTGCCAGCAAGGCTCCTCTGTCAATGAAACCAACTGGATCCTGCACTCTTTAGAATGTATTTGGGCATTTTGGCGAAGCAGTCTCCTCATTGGTTAGGGTGCCAATTCTGTTTATGTTTAGCCAGTGGGGAACATTTATTTATATGGACCAAGGAGGCTGGAGGGCAGAGGGCAGAAGAAGGAAAGCAGGGGCAGAAGGGCAAGGACGAGGCAGGAATGAGTTACCTGGAGAACATAGAGGGCCATGTGCAGCTGGGTGTTCTCTGGCCTGGTCAGCTTTATGATCACCAAGATGGCAGCTGCGAATACAGATTACTGTCTTTAAGTATTTGAAGGCGATTATTATCTAGAAGAGGCTTAGCATTGTTCCACTTGGCCTCAGAAGGCAACTGGAAACCAGGAAATCTGAGCACCCCTGCCCCCCCCCAAAAAAAACAAATTCAGATTTAATGTTGGGAAAAACTTCCTAATGAAGTGAGCCGCCTCAGAAGGGAATGGGTTCCTCTTGTCCTCATTCCAAGTCTTCAAATAAAGATTGAATGGGCCTTTGGGCAGAGGCTAGAGGTAGGAAACTGGCTCAAGGAGATGGGAAACTAGATGACCATCAAGGACACTTTCCATTCTGATAAGTCTATGATTTTTGGTAAGTTTCCATGGCCCTCCTTTGTACCCCAGAGCATAAAAATATGGGCTACAGAATCGCTGGAAAAGAAACTGGGAGCTTCATGGACATGTAGCCTCAAGTCTGAAGATACAAATAACCTGTCAGGTCTTCTGTCTGCCTTTCTGATGTATTTCACTGGAGACTGGGCATTAATGGTGGATGGATTCCCTATAAGAAGATACTGTTCCCCCAATCTAAGTTTACCAAGCAAAAGCTGGATGATTGTTTGCTAGGGAGTCAGAGGTTTAAGTTTAGAGATCTAAAACTAAAGAAGCCATGGTCCTTCTTTTACAGGAGAGGAAATTGAGGCCCAGAAAGTTAAAGTAATTTGCCCAAAGTCACACAGCTAGGATTCAAACCCAGATTCTGACTCCAGGTCCACTGGTTTTTCTACTATACCACAACTTGTGCCTCAGCTTCTCTTTAAAGGGGGCAGGCACACAGCGGAAAAAAATAGTGGGTTGAAAAAAAAGAAAATAGCGGGGGTGGGGGGCGGTGGAGAAACCAGGGGATGTGGATAGATCCAGTATAGTTGAAGGGAGTCAGGAAGAAGTAAGTTAAAATCTGACCTCAGACACTTACTAACTAGGTGACCCTGGGTGAGTCATTTAACCCCATTTGCCTCAGTTTCCTCATCTGTAAAATGAGCTGGAGAAGGAAATGGCAAACCAGTCCAGTGCCTTTGCCAAGAAAACCCCAAAAGAGGTCACGAAGAGTCGAAAACAATGGAACAACAACAGTGCAGTTTTCAAGGCCTCAGAGACTTTGTCAGGCTGGTTCCCCCCAAATCCTTTTTCTGGGCTGGAGCCCTTCTTCCCTGGCACTCCTCGAACCCTGAGCTGCTCACCTGGACCCCAACAGCAAAAGAAGGCGACTGGATAGAAACACACTCGGTGCTCCACCACACGGATCGAGGCCCATTGCTCATCCCCCAGGAAACCAGTAGATTTCACGAACCTCTTATACAGCATCTGAGCCCGCGTGAGTAAGGCCTGGAGAGGAGAAGGAAGACGAAGGTAGATGGAAGCAATGGTGTGTGAATACAATGGAATACGACTGTGTTGGAAGAAATGATGAAGGACATAGTTTTAGAGAGACTTAGGAAGACTTGTATGAACAGAGGCAGAGTGAAGCGAGCAGAACCAGGAGACCAATTTATACAATAATACCAACACCATTAAAATAAACAAGTTTGAGACTTAAAGAACTCTGATCAACACAGTGACCAATCACGATTCTGGAAGCTAATGATGACAGATGATCAATGTCACATCAATCATATACTTTTTGGACGTGACTAATGTGGGAATTTGTTTTGCTTGATTATGCATGTTTATTACAAGGGATTTACCCCTGTGGGAAGGAGAGAAACTAGATTTTTGTTCATTTGAAATTTTTAATTTAATTTTTAAAAAAAACAACCAAGGCAAAAAATGTCCTGGCATCTCAAGGCAAATTCCGGTAGTTATCAACTCTGGGATCAAATACAGTTTCCACTGTTTGGCATTTAAAACTCTTCACCGCGCTGGCCTCTAACCTATTTTTCCAGCCTTCCCCAATCAGTTAATAAAATAAGTCAATAAGCACTTATTAAGCACCTAGTATGTGGTGGGCCATGCGGTGGGCGATGGAGATTCAAAGATAAAAATGGAACAGTCTCTGCCCTCGAGGTGCCTACGTTCTATCGGGGAGACGATTTGCATGTAAATAGTATATACAGAATTTATCCAAATTTGGGCAGAGTATAAGCCACTGGGAGGCTCACATCAGGCGATATGCACAAGGTGGGTCTTGAACTCAAGCTTTGAAGGAAACTAGAGATTTAAAGAGGGAGGGCATTCCAGGTATGGGGCATGGCCAGTGCAAAGGCAAGAAGCTGGAGATGAAAGGTTACATGGCCAGTTTCCTTGGACGAGAAGGGGAGGAATGCATAATACGGCTGGAAAGGTACTTAAGGCCAGGTTATAAAGGACTTTAAAGGCCAAATAGTAGTTTATATTTTTATCCTTGAGGCAACAGGGAACCACTGGAGCTTATTGGGTGAAGCAGTGACCTGATCAGATCTGTACTTTGGGAAGATCACTTTAGCAACTGTATGGAGTATGGATTGGTCAGGAAGAGCAACCAAAAGGCTATTGCAGCCATCCAGGGGAGAGGTTATGAAAGCCGAAGTGAGGGGAGAGAAGAGGGCACAAAGGGGAGATATTGTGGAGGCAGGAGTGATAAGATTTGACAACAGATTGGATATGTGGAGTGAAAGAGGGTAAGGAGTCAAAGACAACACCAGGCTGTGAACTGAGGTGATTGGAAGAACGATGGCATCCCCAATGGAAACAGCTAAGTTAGGAAGAGGAAAGAATATGGCAGTAAAGATGATGGGTGAGCTCTGTTCTGGACACGCTGAGCTGAAGATGTACAATAGACGGTGATGGAGGATTGTAACTCAGAGGTGACACTCGTTCAGCCATTTCAATCATGTCTGACTCTCCCACACCCCATCTGGGGTTTTCTTGACAAAGATACAGGAGTGGTTTGCTATCTCCTTCTCCAGATTATTTTTACAGATGAGGAAACTGAGGCAAACAAGGTGAAGTGAATTGCCCAGGGTCACACAGTTAATAAGTGTCTGAAGCTGGATTTGAACTCGGGAAGATGAACCTTCCTGACTCCAGGCTGGGAACTCTATCCACTGTGCCACCTAGATGTCCTAGAAGAGAATCTAGGACTTGATAAATAAATCTGAGATGTGTGTGTGTGTGTGTGTACATACATATATATTGAGAGAGAGAAAGGGAGAGAGAGGGAGAGAGAGAGAGAGAGAGAGAGAGAGAGAGAGAGAGAGAGAGAGAGAGAGAGAGAGAAGGAAAGGAGAGAGAGAAAGAATTAAACTGGTAGGAGCTAATTAAGTCCCAAGGGAGATAGCATAGAGAGAAGAGTCCCAGAACAGAGCTGTGGGGTAGACCACAATTGATATGAATGATGAACCATCAAAGAGAATTGAAAAGGAAGCAGGGTTCAGACAAGAAAGAATGGTGTCATGAAAACCCAGAGAGGAGAGAGCATCTATGAGAAGAGAGGGTGATCAGTGCTGTCAGATGTTGTATAGAGGTCAAGAAGAACGAAGAATGAGAAAAAGCCATTCAGAATCGGTAATTAATAGATCACTGGTGATTTGGGAAAGAACAGTTACTCAGCTGAATACTAAGCTTGGAAGCCAGAATACAGTGAGCTTAGAACACAGTGAGAGGAGAAGTGGGGTAACAAGTATAAATATGTTTTCTAGGAGTTTGGTTGCAAAAGGGAGGGAAAATACAGGAGGATAATTTGGGGGGATGGTTGGGTCTGGAGAAGTTTAGGACTTTTTAAGGATGGGGTCAACATGAAAGTGTTTGCAGTCAAGTGGAAAGGAATTCATAGAGTGATTGAAGGTTAGGGAGGGTGTGACGGTTATGGGGGAGACCTGCTGAAGGAGATGGGAAGGGTGAGATCAAGGATACATGTAGAGGGACTGGCCTTACGGAGGAGAAAGGCCCCCTCTTCATCAGACCCAGGAGTAAAAGAAGAGAGAATGGTGGATAATGCCAATGGGTTTTGAAATGCTGCAAAGGGGAAAAGAGCAAACTTCATGACCCATGTCCTCAATTTTCTCAATAAATTGTGAATTGAGGTAGCAAATGCCAAAAGCTGGATTTTAACCCAGATATTCTTAAATACAAATACAGGACTCTATTCACAGTGTCATTCTGCTTCATGACACTGAGGAATCTTCCAGCTCTAAGTTTCTGAGACCAAGATCCACCATTTGGGGTGGAGTACTCTGGGAAGAACCAGTATTACGCAAACTGTCCCAGACCTGAGACGAAGCCCCACCCAGCCCTGGACTGCTAGACAGTCAGCCCCAGAAAGCAAGCTGGCACTGTACCACAATAGCGAGGAGACTGAGCAGGAAGCTAGTCAGGAAGATGATGAGCCCGTAAAAGTAGAGGATCTTGCAGACTGATGTGCTGGCAGAGGGCAGGAGTTCAGCCATGGCTGGGGGTGGCGAGTGCATCAGGAGACACCTAGGATGTATGAAAGAATGGGAGTCAGGGGGGCAGAGCAGCTGTGGTCCTAGGACCAGAGAGATGCCAATGGCTAACTCAAAGCAATGAATATATCACTTTGAGACCCATCTGAATGTCCAGGATGCTCTGGGGGTCTCTGGTCACTGCCAACCCCACTCCCCACTCACACACACATATACACACACATACCCAAACACATGCGCACATGAAAACATACAGACACACATACTCACGGACATGAACACAAATACATGCATACATTGTCCTGATAGAATAATAATAGTATCTACCTCACAAGGCTGTTACAAGAATAAGTATCTGTAAGGTATGAGATCATATCTATAAGGTGCTTGGCAAAACTTAAATCCCTATGTGCACATTAGCTGTTATTATTAGTATTAGACAATGGGAACTGGATCTGTGGTTTCATTGATGTTGATGCAGCCCCACCCTGAGGCGAGTTTGTGGTCCCCTGAAGAAGGCTTTATACTTTTGGGGAGATATGAATTCTGATGAGTTGAGAGACTTCTGAGAGAGGGGGAAGAGAGAGAGGGAGAGAGAGAGAAAAAGAGAGGGATGGAAGGAGAGACAGACAGACAGATAGAGACAGAGAAACAGAGCAAGAAAAGAGAAAGTGAGGTATAGACTTTGAGAGCCCACCAAACCAGAGTTACGTAGGGAAGAGCTGGCACCTCAACAGGTACCTTGATTCCAAGCATCTACACCCACAGAGACTGCTGGGAACGGACTTGTTGGGTGAGTTCACTTTCTCTGTGGCAGTGCCCAGATTTCATCTCTCTCTGGGACATAGGGCTCCCTAACTCTTGAGTACTCCATCACCTAAATGCACCTGTCTGGCTTCCCCAATTACTGCTTTACTGCTTGTTTTGATGTTTGCCCAGCATCCGTGATTCTTTTGTGTAATACATGTTTGGTAAGAGGGGACGCTAAACTGGCCAGGATTAAATTCATAGCTATTCTCCAGGTCTGGCGAGAAACTGTTACCAGGGAAAATGGCTTTTATCCAAATCTCCCCTCTCCAAAAACCAACCAAACAAAAAATGATCATGCCATTAGACTTCAAATATCCGATATGTAATAGATAGTAGGGGTATTGGGCTGGAATTAATTCTGGAGACAGCAGAGTAAGGAAATGAGCACCCAGCCACAGCTGTCCTCCCCCTCCCCATAAAGGGAGAAACCTAGTCTCCCTAAAGAAGCAGAGTGAAACATTTCTGTATTATCTCTGATACACAGTCTACCTATTATATTGATAACTCCCAGATGAGAAAACTTCCTCTGCCAATTCAGATCGGCATGTCTCTGACTGCAGTCTTAGAGAGTCATCCATGGCACTGAATGGTTAAGTGATTTGCCTAGGGTCATAGTCACTGTGTGCAGGGGCAGGACTTGAACCTAGATCTTCTTGATCCACTCTTGATCCATTATGCCACACTGTCTCTCAGTTCTTATCATCATTAATAATTCTGATGGAGTCAGCCACTTCTCTAGCCATGGTCCATAGCTCATACCCCACAGCCACCACCCAACAACCAACGATATATCAACAAACATTTAGCTACTATGTGCAAGGAACTGCACTAGGCACTGGGGAGGAAATCAATCAGCAAACATTTATTAAGCCCTGCTGTATGCTAGTCAAGGGGAGGGTGAGGAAGATACAAAGACAATAATGAACCAGACCCTGCCCTCAACTAGGGAGATACAAAGTATACACAAGCAAGCAAATGCAACATACAAACAAAATAATATGAAGTAATCGAGAGGTAGGGAGTACTAATCACTTCAGGGCATGAGATTAGGAAAAGCTGATATAGGAGGTGCCACTTAAACTGGGTTTTCAAGGAAGCCAGAGATTCCTTGAGAGATAGAGGAGGAGGTGCAGATAGGTGGTGCAGAGGATAGTACACAGGATCTGAGTTTAAATCTGGCTTCAGAGACTTACTAGCTGTGTGACCCTAGGTGAGTCACAACCCCAATTTCGAGAGAGAGGAAGAGAGAGAGAGAGAGAGAGAGAGAGAGAGAGAGAGAGAGAGAGAGAGAGAGAGAGAGAGAGAGAGAGAAAAGAAGAAGAAGAAGAAGAAGAAGAACAAGAAGAAGAAGAAGAAGAAGAAGAAGAAGAACAAAGAGGAGGAGGAGGCAAGAGGTGGAATCAGTACGGGGCCAACTTGACAAGAACCAAGAGTCCATGAAGGGGAATAATATGAAATAAGACTGGAAAGAGAAGTGAGGAAGAGAATGGTTCTGGTCCTGGAAGATAAAAGGAAAAAGAGTAGAGTTGATAGATTTGAATTTTACATACCTATGACTCTGGCTGAAGTTATGGAAACATTCGCTGCTGTTTCCCAGACAGAATACAGGTACCATCAGCAGCAGAGGGATTAGGCTAGGAAGAGAGACGACGTGACCCTCAGGAATGGAACATTTTGTGAACTTCCCTTCCCTCCAGACTCCCTCCCATGCCTCCCACCAACACACACACACACACCTCTCAGAAAAGATAGATGCTTTTTTCTTGCTACCATAATTCTCTAAGAACATTGTCATCATTGTATATTCTGTCTTCCTGGTCCTGCTTGCTTCTCTCTGAATCAGTTTCTACAGTCTTCCCATGCCTCTCTAGATCCATCACATTCATTATTTCTTACAACACAGCAATATTCCACTATATTTGAGTCCCATAATTTGTTTAGCCATTCACCAACTGATTCTCCTGTTTCTTGGTACCTGGCATCTGGAGAACTCAGACCCTTACAAGAAGAGGAAGGAGAGGCAGAATCTCACCTGGACAAAACAACAGCTATCCATCCAACTCTGGAGGTGTAGTCCTGTGAGAATGACAAATGGGATCAGTGTTCTAGGACTAGGCTGCTGCATTACAGGAAAGATCCCAAGAGGATAAACACCAACCAGATTCCCTCCTGCCAGTGCAGATCAGTGCCTCACTGCTAACGCAGTGCCTGTGGTACCCACAGGTTAAGGGAATAGAGGTACAATCCTTGCCTTTGAAGAGTTTATAATAAGAAGACTTGAGTTTAAATCCAGCCTCAGACACTTATTAGTTATGTGACTCTGGGCAAGTCACTTCACCATGTTTGCCTCAGTTTCCCCCTCTGTAAAATTATGTGGAGAAGGAAATGACAAATCACTCCAGTATCTTTGCCAAGAAAACCCCAAACAGGGTCATAGAAAGTCAGAAACGACTAAAAAATGCCTTACCAGCAACAAATGAAAGATAATTAACAGAATTAAGAGATGAGGGAGGATATTTTTAAACCAGACTTAAGATCTCATGAGTTATGGGAACTTTAAGTGAAATCCCTCTACCAAGGCAAATGAGCAACCTATCTGCAATTTACAGCCATGGAAAGTTGTCTGGGACACTGAGGGTTAAGTGACTTGCCCAGGGTGTGTCATAAATGTGACTTGAGTTCAGGTTTTCCTGATTCTAAAACCAACCCTCAGGGGCAGCTAGGTGGCACAGTGGATAGAGCACCGGCCCTGAATTCAGGAGGACCTGAGTTCAAATCTGGCCTCAGACACATAATACTAGCTGTGTGACCCTGGGCAAGTCACTTAACCCCATTGCCTACCCCCCAAAAAAATAAAACCAACCCTCCAACCACTGCTGTCTCTCACACACCACCGTCCAAGTGTAGAAAAATAAGACACTGAAAACTCCTTAAATTGACTAGAATTTGGTTGTATGGAATATTGCTTAAAATAAGGGCAAGGAAGATCTTTTCCTTCCGTGTCCCACCCTCCCCCTTATAACTGGCCATAGTGTTTGGCTAAGGTGGCTAAGTAATAAGTACTTATTAATCAGTTGATTGATTGATTACGTTAAGATCTAGGCCATCATATTTTAGGAAGTTACGTTGATTAGCCAGAGAGTGTCCTGAAGTGGGCAACCAGGGTGGTGGAAAACCTTGACCTCATGTCATATCAATGAAACTGGAGATGATGGATGTGGAGAAGAGAAAATGCAGAAGAAGGGATGTCATGTGGAAGAGAGATCCACCTCGTTCTGCCAGACCTTGGGGGCAGACCCAGGAGATAGTGCAATGGAGAGACAGTGCAAAGAGGAAATTTTAGCAATGATATAAGGGGTAGCTAGATGGCTCAGTGGATAGAGCACAGCCTTGGAGTCAGGAGGACCTGAGTTCAAATCCAGCCCCGGACACTTACTAGCTGTGTGACCCTGGGCAAGTCAGCCCCAATTGCCTAAAAATTAAAAAAAAAAGAAACATGCAATGAAGAAGATCCTCCTAACAATGAAGAGTGCCCCAAAATGCAGTGAGCTGTCCCAGAAAGCAGTGAATTCCTTTTCCCTACGTGCCTTCAAGCAAAAGCTGGATGACCACTTGTTATGAGCTATGAACTAAAAGAGAGCTCAGGGGGCTATCAAGTCTGACTCTGTTGTTTTTACAGATGGAGAAACTGAGGCCCGAAGAGGTGTGGTAATAAGTATCATGGCTGAAATAGGAACCCGGGCCCTTCAACTACATAACCAGTGCTATTTGTGCTGTGACAGGGCTCCTGCTCTGGTATTATACAGGGGGTGCTTGTCTAGGGAAGGGCTGAGCTGATGGAAATCCTCTGAGGTCTCTTCCAAGCTCCCAGATTCTGGGACTGACCAACTCAAACAGGAGAGTGCCAACCGAGCAAAGCGATGAGGGAGGAGTCTGCGCTTTCTCCCATTTCATGCCCTTTCTCGAGCCCCGGTCACCTCCCATGTTCCTGCTTTCTCACCCTTGGCTATCGCCAAAAGACAAAGGCAGATGGGAGGGACAAGACAGATGTAACCCAGGGAGGCAGAAAGCAGGAGAAAGACCTCAGGATGCCTGCGACTCACACTCCTTCCTTAGCCGGTCCTCAGCAGGGCATGAAAGAACTGTTCAAGCACAGAATAAAGCAGACATTGGCCAGACAGATGCTGCAGAGCCCCAGGAAGGAGACTGACTCCAACAACAGTTATTAAGTGCCCCTGCCTTTCAATCAAATTCAAGACATTTATTGATCGTTTACAGTGCTGAGCACTAGGGATACATAGAAGAAATCAATCCATATTTATTGCAGAAACAGATGTTGTCCTTGGTTCTGGAAGAGGACCCGTGACTTCATGGGTAATGCCTTGACTTGTGCATGAACCGGATTTAAGTAAGCCAAAGCTCTAAAAAGTCAGCCTCACTCTCTCCCCCAAGAGGCATCAAAGTCCAGTGGCAAGACATATGTCAAGACAACTGGCTGAGGCCTGGGGAAAGACCTTTTACAGATGAGAAACTGAGGCAAACAGGTTTAAGTGACTTGTCCAGGGTCACACAGCTAGTAAGGGTCTGAGTCCAGATTTGAATTCACAAAGAGCCTTCTTAACTCCAAGGCCTGAACTCTGTCCACTAGGAATAGCAGGAATAATCCTTCATTCAAGTGTCATCCCCCCTTTACAAAGGAGACAGCCAGGGAGGTTATTTATTAAGCTGTATGGCAGGTACTTCATTGGGCATTGGGGACATAAAACCAAAAATAAAACAGGACCTTCCCTCAAGAGACTTACATTCTATAAGGGGAGATGACGTTCTGTTTGGTGTTTCACTGCCCTTCGCTGCCTAGCGTCCCCCTGCATTTCCATTCTTCTCATACCTTATTCCCCAGCGTGTACTCTTCAGTCCAGGGACACTGGCCTCTTTACTGTGCCTTGAGTAAGACGCTCCATCTCTCATCTCTTGGCGTTTTCTCTGGCTCTCCCCCATGCCTGGAATAGGCATCATCTGGCCTCCTGACTTCCTTGGTTTCTTTCAAGTCTCAGTTAAAATCTCACCTACTCCAGGAAGTCTTTCCCAACTCCTTTTCATTCTAGTACTTTCCTGCCATTGATTATTTCCTATTTATCCTGTAGTTAGCTTGTACATGTTTGTTTGCTTACAATCTCCCCCATTAGACTGTAAGCTCCTGTGAGGGAAGGAGCTTGTGCCTTTTTTGTATCCCCAGGGCTTATCACTGTGCCTGGCATACCATAGGCACTTAATAAATGCTTATTAACTGACTGATATATATACACACACACACACACACACACACACACACACACACACACACACAGAGATTATATACAAAATAAATGTCATGGGCATCACAGCATACTAGAAAGACAGCCAGCCTCAAACCTGAGTCTCTGACCTTCTCTACCATTTCCCGGCAGCCTTCTCCTCCTGGAAGATGCCTCTGTCCTGATCTAGATAGCTGGAAGAGACCTCAGTGGTCATTATGTGAAGTCCATACGTGAACAAGAATCCCCTTTAAAACCCACATGGCTCTGCTTGAAGACCCCCAAGGAGGAGGAGCCCATCCCAACTGGAGATAGCCCCAACTGTTAGGAAGCCCTTCCTGACATGCAACATTAATCCACTCCTAGCTCCTGGATCTGCCCTGTGGGGCCAAGCAGACCAAGTCTCTCTCTTCTTTCACTGGACAGCCCTCTAAATACTTGAAGACAGCTCTCCTGGAGCCACTAAGTCTTCTTCAGGTTAAATATCCATCTCTGTGGCCAGGGTGTTAACCAAAGGTTAAGTACTCTTCATCTTTTGACCGTCAGAGCAGAATAAATCCCTGCTCCCGTCCGATGCCTGCATTTCAGATTATGGCTAGGATGGGTGAACCCACAGTGAATAGTGGCTTCTTCTTGACTCAAAGACCCAAGGACTTGAGGAAGGTCCCATTTCTAAGCCTCCTGAGCTTCCTATCCTCAAAAAAAAAAAAAAAGCTTTTCTGGAAAGCAGAATCTAATTTTTTTTTTATTTCCACCAGGTTATGGTCCACTCTGAGGGTGGCTTTCCCAAAGCCAGGGACACAGAAGGGGAACTCTGGGAGGCCAAGGAGCAAAGGTCTTCTTTAATTAAATCCCACCCAGTACACCTGGGGCCAAGAGTAGACCCTAATATACTTTGAAAAGGGTAGAAAGAGGGGCAGCTAGGTGATGCAGTGGTTAGAGCTCTGGCCTTGGAATCAGGAGGGCCAGAGTTCAAATCCAGCCTCAGACACTTACTAGCAGGGTGACCCTGGGCAAGTCACTTAACCCTAAATTGCCTAAGCAAAAAGAAAAGGTAGAAAGACCTCATTTTTTCATGGGCTCATAACTGAAAGATATTTTAGAGATTATCTAATTCAATTCTCTCATTTTACAGATGAGGAAACTGAGACCCAGAAAGCTTCAGTGATTTGCTTGAGGTTATATAAATAGTAAGTGGCAGAGCCAGGATTCAAACCCAGGTCCTCTGACTCCAGGACCAACATTCTTTCCCCTGCCTCACCATACTCCTCTTTTAAAAAAAAAAATTGTTTTGGAGGTCATTGGGATTAAGTGACTTGCCCAGGATCACATAACTCATATGTGTCGGAGGCCAAATTTGTACTCAGGTCCTCCTGACTTTAAGGCTGGTGCTCTATCCACTATGGTGCCACCTGTCCCTTACATTAATTTTTTAAAAAGTTTTATCCATGCTTTTTATTTTGACATTACAGCTATTTCCTAATATATCTCACCCCCACACCAGTTGAGTCCCACCTTGGACCAGAGAAAAGCAGCTTAGTGTCCAAGCCTGACAGCATAAGTTCCATTCCTCACCTGTAGCCCCCCACCTTCTCTCCTAAGGAGGGAAGTGTCAATAGACTCTCCTTGTATTCCCCAAGCTACACTCACCATTGCAGAGGCTGAGTAGATATTCTGGTTGTATTTCACCTTCAGGTCCATGTAAAGGTGCCACGTGAAGTTGACAGTGTAGAAAAAGGACGAGATGTAGAAGATCTAGGAAAATTCAGATGGCCAGTCAAATTTGTCCACTCACCTGTTCATTCCCTTGGCCTCCCAATTTCTTCTAATGGCACTGACCACTTGCTGGTTCACCAGCAGGAGGTGCTTTTCAAAGCTAGGGAAAATTGAGTGACTTGTCTGTGACTCAGACATGTCAAACCCAATGAGAGCCCAGCTCCAGCCTCTACGATGGATGTAAAGGTTGCTGATGTCTGTGGCTGAATGCTCACAACACCAGCAGCAGCTGCCCTTACGGAGAGTTTAGAGTGGTTTCCAGGAGTGTGATGGTAAAAGTTTAACAACCAGCTCTCCAGAAGAACAAACAAACCCACAATACACTTTTAAGTTTAATTTGTACCATTAACCTTTTCTTGAAGTGTAGGTAATCCACAAAACAATAAATTAAGCCGTGGTTTAGCCTTTTTCAATTGCCAAAGTGCAAATGCTCCTGCTGAAAATTTAACAACCGGCTCTTGCCAGCCAGCTACAGCTGGCTCCAAGACATCCCTGGATGTATTACATTTCTAGCCAACTTGATATATCACAAAAATTCTTTGGAGTTAAAAAGGAATCTCTGAAGTTACCTAATCCAAATTCCCATCCAATGTACAAATCCTTCAGTCATAGATAGTATCCTGGTTCTGCTTAAATATTTGCAGTAGGGCTCACTGCCCCTGACAAAGTAGCCTATTCCAAAGCCTAGCACAGTGCCCTGAACATAAATGAATACACGAAGAATCTGTGATTTTGTCAGTATGGGGAACTTCCTGGGTGGAAACTCGCTCCACCAACATGAATTGCCACCCATTTATAACTTGGTAGATCTGTTCTAGGGAGCTGTCTGAGACAAATAGTGGTTAAACGATTGGCTAGTGTGAGAGGGGAGATACGAACCCAGGTCTTCCTGATTCTGAGCCCAGCATACCGTGTGCTAATCCTCGCTCACAAATAGAGCATAATGAATGTTTATTGAGTTGAATGGAATTCTTTTGTTAGACTGCTCAAATATTTGGAAAGCTCATTCTAGCACTGAACAAAATTCCCCTTCTTTGTAATTTCCACTCACTGATTCTAGTTCATCCTCCAAAGCTACATAGAACATCTGTTTCCTCTCCTGTGTAAGATCCCTTCAAATATTTGAAGACAGCTATTGTAGGTACTCTAAATCTTTTCTCCCTTCAGACAGCCCTAGTTTCTCCAGCTTTTATCAGATGATGTTTTCCAGGCTTGTTCACCTTTTCTGGTCATGCTCCAATTTGTCACTTTTGGAGGGGAGAAGAAGTGGGGGGGGAGATCCTAGACTTGTGATTTTACCAGTGTAGGGACCTTCGTACACTGTGTGGAAGGTGTGGAAATATTCTACCAATGCAGATCACAACATCTTAGTACAATCAAAAGGGTCTTTAAAGATCATTACATCCAACCCCCTCATTTTATAGATAAAGATACTGAGACTGAGAAGCAAATGACATGCCCACAGTCACACAGCCAGTATGTATCACAGATTCCTGACTCTGAGGGTGGTGTTGGATTTTCTTCAACTGCTATACCCAGAGGTGAACACAATATTCCAAGACTTGTAGATCCAGATTTAAAAGAAAAGAGAAAAAATACTCATATTTTGAAACAATGAGAAAAATCTTCATAGGTGTCACCCTCTAGAGAGCGAGCTTCTCGAGAGCATATAAGTATGATTGAGAGAAGTGACTATTGTGAAATTATAATGACCCAGCTGGACAACAGAGAAGTGAGAAAATATATCCTGTTCCCTTCTTTGCATAAGCGGGGGACTATGGGTGTGGAACACTGCATATGCTGTCAGACTTAGACAATGTTCTCTTAAACTGTATTTCCATTTTCTTTTTTCATTCTTTCTTACAAGGGATGGCTTATTGCATAGGGAGAAGGAGAGGGAAGATTGAAAAATATTGTTGTTGTTGTTCAGTTGTTTTCACTCATGTCTGACTCTTCGTGACCCCATTTGGGGTTTTCTTGGCAGAGATACTGGCGTGGTTTGCCATTTCCTTCTCTGGCTCATTTTACAGATGAGGAAACTCAGGCAAACAAAGTGAAGTGATTTGCCCAGGGTCACACAGCTAATAAGTGTCTGAGGCTAGATTTGAACTCAGGAAGACATCAGGCCCAGTGCTCTAAATAAAGTCGATGTACAAACAAAAGGTATCCATTTGAAAAATGAGTCAGAGGATATAGGATTTGGGGGGATTATATCAATTGCATAAAGCAAGGTCACTCTGCCTTGTGATGTTTATAAGGTTAGTGGCAAAGACGTCACCTTAAACAAACTCATGAGTCCTGCATCCCTAGTAGAGGATGAAGAAGCAGAGAGGTTTTACGAAGATGCTCCCAAAGTCCTCCAAAGGAGGTTGGCTGACATGACTTCCGAGTAATGATGGGCACAGGATGGGGACTTGGGGAAATCAGTACATTGGAAAATGAGGTTCAGGATGAAGAAATAACAATCACCGCTGGAAGGCGGTGTCACAGAGTGGACGGTGAATCATTCTGGTGAGTGTACTGAGGCTGGATTAGAGTAGGCAGACACCTGAGGCAAAGAGACCATCGCGGAGGAGACTGCAATGGTCCAGGTAAAAGAGGATATCGTTTAATCATTTTTCAGTTGTGTCTGACTCTTTGGAGTTTTCTTGGCAGAGACACTGGAGTGTTTTGCCATTTCCTTCTCCAGCTCATTTTACAGATGAGGAAACTGAGGCAAACAGGGTGAAGTGACTTGCCCAGGGTCACGTAGCTAGGAAGCGTCTGAGACCAGATTTGAATTCTGGTCTTGACTCCAGACCCACTATATCTCTTAGCTGCCCATATACCTACTTTCTCATCTTTTCAAATCTTTTTGCCCATGTTCTACACACCTACCTCAAGTATTATGGGACTTTTCAGTCCAGTGACACTGGCTTCCTTACTATCCCTCACACAAGACGTTCCATCTCTCGGCTCTGGGCATTTTCTCTGGCTGTCCCTCATGCCTGAGATGCTCCCTTTCTTCATCTCCACATCCTGGATTTTTTTCAAGTCCCAGCTAAAATCCCACTTTCTACAGGAAGTTTTCGTCAGCCCTTCTTAATTCTAGTGCCTTCTCTCTGTTGATTCTTTCCTATTTATCCTATAGATAATTTGTACATATTTGTTTGTATGTTGTCTTCCTCCATTAGACTGTGATTTCCTTGGCAGGGAGTGTGGGACAAGTTCTGCCTTTGTATTCCTAGTACTTAGCACAGTGCTTGGCTCTTAATAAATGCCCATTGGCTGCCTGAAATGGAAGCAGATAGGTTTTCATAAATGATTCCCTAGGGCACTTCACATCTTTATGATCACGACTGGCTGAAAGATAACTTGAACACAAGATCATACAATGATTACTATATGTTGGTGGAGCAGATTCTCTCCCCAACTGAATTCTTCCTCTATTGCTGGCTTCTGGCCTGCACTGCTAAGCTCTCAAACTCTTGCCCCTTACCACCTGTGATCTAGTACGTGATACATACTTTCTCTGGGCCTCAGTTTCATCATCTGCGAAAGAAGGTGGGGAAGAGTTGGTCTGGAACGATGACCAGGCATCTGTAGGCAATTGGTGGTATGGTGGATAGAGTACTGGACCTGGAGTCAGGAAGACCTGAGTGCAAATCCAGCCTCAGACACTGACTAGTTGTGCGACTCTGGACAAGTCATTTAACCTCTGCCTCAGTTTTCACATCAGCTTAGATTAGAAACCAGGTCTTCTGAATACAAAGCCAGTGCTCTGTCCACCACACTGCTGTGCTCCCCTAAGTCATTTCATCTCTCTCAGCCTCAGTTTCCTCATTTGAAAAATAAGGATGACAATAACATCTAGGGAAACTACATGACCCTGGAGAAGTCATTTAACTTATAAATTGCAGAGAAGGTGACTATCTGCATTAGTAGAAGGAGTTTCCTTATTTGAGAGTTCCATACCAATGAAATCATAAATCCAATCTTTATCCCTATTGGTACACCACAGGACTGTGAGGTTCAAATGATGTAATACATGTAAAGCACTTTGCAAAGTGATACAAAGCAAAAACGGCTCCATATACTTCAGCCAATCTCAAAGTAAACAGTTAAGGATCAACAGAGAGCCTACCTTGGGAAAGAAAGCATTGCTATTTCTCCACACTGAGGGTACAAAAGATTTTGATTTATGCTGAGTCACAGCATCAGAGAATCCAAGAATAGCAATGACTAGGAGGATTAATCAGATTGAGCCTCTCAGAGCCAGATGGTCCCAGCAGAGCTTTCCAGTCCAGATGTCATGCAGGCATCATAGGATCATGGATTTAGAACTGCAGAGGACCTCTGAGGCTATCTAGTCCAACCCCTTTGTTTTACAGATGAGAAAACTGAGACCCACAGAGGTGAAGGGACTTCCCTAAAGTCACTAAGTGACAGAGGTGGCACCGGAGTTGAGCTCTCTCAGTCTCCAGATCCAGATCTTTCACTCTTTCTGATGTACCACATTGTCACCACTGCTGATTCACCAGCTTGATTCACCAGCGTGCTGGTCAGTCAGCTGAGCTCACAACGGCCAGTAACCCTGAGGAAAACTCCAGGTCTCAAGCTATGGTGTAGAAGCCAAGTCAAGTTAGTCCAGGTGGAAAGCTTCCATATGAACCGTTTGTCAGGGAATGACCAACGGTAGCTTTTTTCAGGAGGTATTGTGGTACAAGTAGAAAGAACTTAGTAGGCCCTGGAGTCAGAAAACTGGTAAAGATGTCAGGGGATAAGAGTATTCAGCATTGGAGTGACCAAGAAAAGACAAGCAAGTTCAAGTCGACGAGCATTTTTTAAAGCACCTACTACTATGTGCCCAGTACTGGCCTAAGTGCCTGAGATACAAAGGAAGGCAAGAGAAAAGAAGACAGTCCCTGCCCTCAGGAAGCTCAAAGTCTAATGAGGGAGACAACATGAAAACAATTGTATAAATAAGCTATAGAGG